TATTCAAGTGTTCCGAGACCCATATTTTTTCGACGAGAAAATGGTAGATGTCGAAGACAAAAATATCGTAAATGGCCATTTTCGACCATTTTTCTAACATCACTGATAAAAAATTTGAAAAACATTATCAAAACGAAATATGAGGTTTATCTGGGCTCGCCAGCAACTAAAATCTGACTTTCATGTGCTGAACCGTACATTTCAAAAGTGTAAAATGTTACTACAGTGTAATTAAATTTAAAACTAGAAATATATTTGACATTTAAAAAGTCCACGTTTGAATTGCGAATGTATTTGCATTAAAGAGTTCATGTACCAGTAATTGAGTGGTTTGGAGCGAAAATGTTATACAGAAAAGTTGAGAGGAAAAATGTCAAATGAAAAGAGATAGCTATATAGTTTACTATATAGCTATCCCTTTTCCGCTCATTCATCATTGACATTTTTCCGCTCAACTTATCTGTATAACATTTTCGCCCCAAACCACTCAATTAGCGATGTTTCATTGATTCCTTCAAATCAAACTTGGAATAATGTAAATTTAATAGGAAAATTATTATTAAAATGACTTTGTGAAACTGTAAACTTACCTTGAAGAGGAAAAAACTAGCATTAATTTTTCATACTTCTTCTAGGTGCCAGTGGAGGCGGGAGTAGCGCTGGTACATCCCCTTCGTTGATTGGCAGCGGGCCAACTTCATCGCGTTTACCATTGAATTCAGGATTCAATTCAATGTATACATCAATACCTCAAACAATCGGATCAATAACAGAAAACTATAGGTAATTTGAATGTTTGAATTTGGGTGTGTATACAACGACACGAAATAAATACGGTACATATTAATTTTCCGTACACACGAGTAGTGTAAAGGGAAATTATAGGAATTGGTCCCGAATTGTTTTCACAAAATTAGTGTAGTTCATCATAAAAAGTACCGAAGCGTGTTTTGAGCTGACGTTAGCAGCACTAACTAACGTCAGCTGCTGATATCAGCTCATAACACGCTCTGAAAAGTACCGAACCGCGATATTCAAAGAACGCTGATCAAACCAATATGGCATTGTTGGCTATATTGCCAGATTTGAATGAGAATGAAAATGTCAGTTGTTTCAATGTGCTAGGAGTTTTCAAGTCTCAATATAATATATTACACAATGTCGATGAAATTTCATTTATTTTATCATAAAAATTCAGTTTTTTGGATTATTTGGCTTTGTTGAATTTTAGACTTCAAAAAATCGAACTTAATTCGCGTAAATAATTAGAATTTCATGTTATTTGTTCACTTCAATAACGACCGTTTGAATTTGAAATCTTCTATAAAGTCGTTTGCATCATACAACAAATGTGCGACTGCTTCAATGGCTACTTTGTAGCGGTACTTTTCATACACACAGTTTACGGCAATGCAAATGAATACACATCTCTGATCAGTTGTGTGTATTCTTTCACTGTCACAGAGATTTTGTCTGTGCGTGCGTGCGTAAGGAGACTAGCAATACACGACAGTAATAAGTGAATCTCTGTTCATCTCGTTCGGACATTTACAAACTATACACATATTCTTGCTGGAATACAAATTCAAACAGCCGGTATTACAGCAAGAATAATACAAAAATATAAAAATTCAGATTTTTTAGTGGATAAAACTGAACCAAATTATTTTCATCGATAAGATTTTGCAAAACAACGCTATAAACAAATATACTTCAAAGTAAATACACTACCGTGCAAAAGTTTGGAACCACTAGGTATTTTTCATACAAATTGACCATTTTTGGTGGACTCATTAACATATTTCGGAAACACCTGCACTCTTGATATTTTGTGCATAGTTTCTACAGCGTTTCAATAGTAAATCACAGGGGTTTCATCAAAAAATATTCAAGTATTTAAAAAATATATCAATTTGAATTTGATCTGTTTTAATCTTCATACAAATTTGATCATTTTTCACACAGTACAAATTCAAATTGCTATATTTTTGAAATTCATGAATATTTTTTGATGAAACCTCTGTGATTTACTATTGAAATGTTGTAGAAACTATGCACAAAATATCAAGAGTGCAGGTGTTTCCGAAATATGTTAATGAGTCCACCAAAAATGGTCAATTTGTATGAAAAATACCTAGTGGTTCCAAACTTTTGCACGGTAGTGTACATCTTTATATTTCTGTTGAATGCGAAATATACTATTGAGACTTCGGATACTTCATTCGAAGTCTCATGAAACTTCAATCACATTGACACTAACTGCTATAAGACTATTCGTCAACCGGGATTCTTTATATAGACAATGATTTGTTCATTAAAAATGTGCCAACAACGGTACGGAAAAGTTGGTTGACGAAAGTTATTCTTTTCATTCGTGTGATGCTATTGCAAAGCCACATCACCCATTAATAAGAATCAATCATTCATGTATCTGTTGCACCGAATATTAATTCTGGTGGAAACATAGAATTTACAAGAATATTTGTATTCATCTTTTAGTCCAATATCCACACCACTGGGCTCGATGGCATCGTCTTGTCTTCAACAACGGGAAAGCTATCATCCGTATATGTTTCATGATCCACTGTCGTTGAGCGCACAATATGCAGCCCATCCTTCGCGACATCACACACCGTGTAATCCGACCGTAGCCCATCAGCAGCCACATTCGCAGCATGGGAACTACATCACTCCTGGAAGCGTTGGAAGCAATAGCAATTTGAACAGTTCGCCAGCGAGCACAGGTATATTCGATTGAACAATATTCTATATCTATTACTATTCACTATTCAACGTATACATTTTTAGGATTAATTACGGCCGGAATCTCTGTACCCATTCAAATATCAACGCCATCAGACATCAGTGGAAGCTACTGGTCCCGTTTGCAGTGACAAAGCTCGAAATAATTTAGTTTAACCCAAATTTTCTAACCATTTTTGAGGAGAACATTGTTGTGCAAAATCTATCGATACAAACACAATCATTGGCAACGTTTTTCGGATTCATTGATATTTTCTTTTGCCCTTGGCGAATGTTTCCCATTAAAATTTGTCCATTTTCAAAATTGGAAACTAACACGAAATAAAAAGAAAATTAAATTGCGATAAGGCAACATTTCAACATGCAATCAATTTCATCAACTGTTTTTCGGTGTGCAGCCAGAAATATTTTAGCTTGTAATGTATTAAGTGAAATGATCTAGCTGTATTGAAATGATATTTTTTAAGCATTACATTATTTTCCTCAATTATAATCAGTTTGATTTCTTTCCTAAATTAAAACATAAGTAATTAACTGATATTCAATGACAGTAGCGTTTAAGTAGTTGTTTTCACTATAGACCAGCGAATTGGCTGTCTGTTTAGGCACTACTGTTCAATAGCTCCTTTCAACGGTGACCGAAGTTACTATAGCAAGCATGAACAATCTCTCTCACACACACACGCAGCTGGATTTGCTTGCTAAAGTTGGCGCAAAATGCGTCACATGCATAGTAACGCAACCGACTGGTGCTGTTGAAAGGCTCTGTGGAACAGCAACGGCTGGACAGACAGCAAATTCACTGATCTGTTTCACAGTTTGAATTGATTATGCGTATTATTTAAATACAGATGTTACCTTGTGGATTATACATCACCGGTTGATATAGGCTTTTTCGGTTTTTACATTTCTTTTTACCGTCAACAGTCACGTATATGAATAGACTACGATTTATTCACAATAGGGCTGCAAAATGATCAAATTAGGTGTTTTAAATTTATGAAAAAATATAATTTAGGTAATATTTGCATTCACCTTCGACTATGGAAATTTCACAAAAATATGGAAAAGAACAAGAGAAAAAACGTTAAATTTTACGTAATTTTCTTTCAAAAAAATAATTTTCGAAAAACCTAAATGATTCGTTAGTTAATGTGAAACAAGAATATCACAATTAATTTTTTATCCACAGATTGGTAAATTCACGGTGGTTTACTATTTCACTGAAACTGATTGTTGTGCATGAAAACGCTACTTAATAGTAAAATTTCTTTCTATTAACACAGTACAGCACTGGTGAAATCAACAGTATTTTGTCTCTCGGGTAGTCTATTGTGTGTAAAGGAATTTCTAAATTGCGTTTGCCCTAAATAGATGTGGCTCATTCATCAAGTAATCATGCAATGAAAGTTCCACAAATGGAAACAAAAAAAACATTTATCCAAGTGAAAAACCACTATCTAGAGCTTTTCAAAATAATTACCTACATTCAGGCGAATATATTTATTAGTGTATTGAAGTGTTTTACTGTACCTTTGGAATATAAATAATATTGGCGAACAATTTACACGAAATAATTCTCGTACGTTATAATAAATTTAGTGAAACAAAATTGATGATCGACCGCAAATAAGTTCAAATACCAATAATTGCCGTTTGCACACACACACACACAAAAACCTAATTAACAAACGCTAAAAATGAATGAGACGATGTGAAACAAAGTATATTCATATACCTGGGGCAAAAAACGAAGTTCTGATTATAGTATTAATTTTAGTAAACCCCTCTATTTATTCTTTAATGTAGTTATAGTCTAAATTTCCGTAAGCTACATCTACATTTATGCATTATTTTTTATATATGGAATGGAAATTCATTAATTATTCTAGATGGTAAGCTTCTTTAAAACGTAACTGTAATTAAACACTGTATGTATTTATATTGAAATTTCAATCTGAATGAAATAAAAATTTACACAAGATTTTATCGGTCCATTTTCAATGCCAACACAAAACAAATTTAAATTATTTTTTTTTCCAATGACTAACTGAAATCAGAGATTACTATGCGATATTTTTATCCCATATGAATAAAAATATCCCATAGTAATCTCTGACTGAAATTTTGTCTTCAATTCAGGAATAAGTGAGAATGTAGTGAGTCTTCTGATGTTTAATTGCACTTTTATGAGAGATATCAAACTGATAAGGGGGGCAAATTCGAATGTGGTAATAACACCAATGAATTATGCACATAATACTACACCACAATCGAGAAATATGTTTGAATTGTTTTTTTTTTCTTCTAATTTTCAGACACGGACACAAGTGCCAATATCAGTCAAATCCTTATAATATCCATGGATCATTGAAGATTTTATTGAATTTTTTGCTGCAGTTCGATTTTGGACGAATCCTTCAACATTGTTTCATATTGATGGAAATGGTATTTCATTCCAAATGCTTTCCGAGTAACTTGTGCTGAGGCAATTAGATACATTGCAAATTAGGTGATAAAGAGTTGATTTTCAACTGATCTCGGCCATGATATAGATTTTTTTTTTTGAAAACGCCATTCATACTTGATTTTATTGTTATAGGTGATGATCGGCATTGGTTATGTATATTTGGAATAATGAGTCGAGCAATGAACTTGCGCATTGGGATAGCCGTTACAATAAATACTGTACAATATACCTGTCATTTATCTTGTGATGCCCGTCAACATATGTTAATTCTAGTTCTGATGTTATATCATGCGCATTTTATCAACTCTTTGCTACCTAACTTTTGGCTTGTACCAAAACCATTTTCAATTGCCATCCTACTGTCATCTATCAGGCTAAAAAAAAAACAAATCAAACCAACTGTTAAATGGTCTGGCAATCATCCATTGATTTGGAATAGAATACGAGTTTAATGAAAACTACTAATTTATTTGTTTGGATTTAAGTTAAAATTTATTTAGGTACTTTGGACTTGTGTTTGTATACTCTTCGTTAAGTTTCTGTACATGATTTTTTACTTTACTTTATAAAACGGCGAATTTGCTTTTTTTCCTAAATCTCTTGTTTGTATAGTGAATACATTATTTGCCATAAATTTGGCGCTAAAGCATTTATTGTTCTTCCTAATGCCAGCTCCATCTGTCCGGTGGAAACATGTAGACAAACTAAGTGAAGCTGACACTCTAGCTGTCAACCGATATATATATATATATATTAATATATATATATATATATATATATTTATAGATAGATATGCTATAGGTGCGATTGTTCAAAACTGCACCGAACAGATGGAGCTCGCTGAAGGGAGGACAATAAATGCTTTAGCACTAAATGTATGTTATTTGCATTATAGATAGATGTTCTTTCTTAGTAATCTGTCCATAATATGGTTTTGTTTGTGCTTTTTGGTTTGAGACCTGCTATATATGCAAAAGCATATTTATTAAATTGACTAGAGATTCCCTTTTGTTTTTGCAAATTCTTATTATCAATAATATATTTACATTTTCTGCCATAAATTTCTATTGGTTTATTTGAAATGGTCTAGAAAATTTTGGAAAGAAATCTTAATTCAATAAGCCGTTATTAATCGGTTCGAGTGTTGCACAATTATATTGCAAATGGCAAATCTTTTGATTATTTTCCCACTAAAATCTGAATAAAACGTCGGAAAAGCGCTCTTCTCCTGCCAATCAATTATAACACAATGTATGATGTGCTCTAAGACAAAACAAAACACAGTTCGTCACAATCAAAGTGTCAAAGTTCAATCGATAAAAAAAAAACGAAACAATAATTATTTTAAGAAACCAATCGTTTGAAACCAGATCCTTTATGACCCAACTTCAATTCATCGTATATTGATGGATTCACTTCTGTTGCATCTCTCGACATTTGATTTTGATCACTAGCATGACCATTTGCCGCCGTTCCGGTTGTCGAAGGTGCATTTTCCGCCCTCCAATTCATCGCCGTATCTCCCGATAGAGAAGAAATCTAAAAAAACAATAAACCCATCAGCCGATATTGTAAACTACCAAAAGATCTATTTATCTTACTTGAACATTTTCTATGTTAACTTCTCGCATATAGCTTGGATTCTCGAATGAAACGCCGCCATTTGTTACATTTTTCATTGTGATTCGCTTTTTATACAGTAGCACTGCCGCGATTCCCAGCGCGATGGCTACGATGCCGGCGAAAACGCCCAACATAGCACCGGTAGAGCTTGACCCAGATGCTGAAGTTATGTACTGTTGGCCGAGTTGGAATTTGATTGGATCAGTCAACACACTCGACCCATATTGATTGCCGGCTTTGACAACGAGCTCATAAACTATATTCGGTCGCAAGTCTCCAATTCGAATGTTCAAGTCTTTGGTATCCACGCGATACGTTCCAATGCCACTTATACTGTTTATAGGGTTATGATCGGTTGTTGGCTCTACTTCATGCCAATAGATTCGGTATCCTTCAACCACATGCGCGTTTTTCTTTGGTGGATCCCATTTGATCAACACTTCCGAATTTGAAACTACCAAAACGGCCAAATTCAAAGGTGGACTTGGTAAACGATCGCGGTTCGACTGGAAACAGTCGATGATCGTTTTTGTATGTTCCAAAACACATACGCCATATTTTACCGAATTGATCGGTTCGCCGCGACACCAATTCAAACAAGATCGGGGAACATGTTCGTTTGCACAACAAGAACGATGATCAGAGCCATCGGCAGCACATTTCATCAATTTATCGAAGTCGACCAAACATTCCGGGCGACTCTTAACAGCATCAATATCAATGTAGAAACTGCAGGCATCTATACAGGACGATGAAACATTTTGTGCGATGCAGCATTCGGATACATTATGAGCCGCCGGCATATTTCGAATTCGAATCGATACAGCCCTCGTGTCCGATCCTAAATCATTTTCGGCGTGACAGAAATAGTCGCCAACAAATTCATTGGTAAGACGTAGAATTGTAAGAGTCATCGTCAACGAACTAGGATCCTTGAAAAGATCAGACATTTTTAGATGGTTTTTAATTCAAAAATATCCGAATCTCACTTACATCTGAACTTGCATCTGTTGTCATTTCATAGTTGCTTCCGAGTGGAACTGGCTCGTGGCCCTCGTGGTCTCTCCAGAAGATGACCTTTGGCGGTGGCTTCGATTTCACAACACACTTCAATTCAACACGTTCTCCGAGCAAGGCCATAGTAACTGAAGAAGGCTGTATTTGAGGCGCAACTGTAATCAATTTAAACTAACCGTATGAAACTGTTTATTCCCTGGACCATTATTCAATTTACACTTACAGCTGATTCGAATCCTTTTTCCAGCTTTTGTAGGTACGCCGTATCCATTTGTTGCATAACACAAAATTTGTTCCATATCCTTAGTAACATTTTGTATGGTCACAACCATATGTCTTCCCACTTCCTGACGAATCAAATGCCCTCCAATGTACAGTGAAATGGTTGGGATTGGATTTCCTAAGGCCAAACAGAATATCGTCATTGAGCCACCTTCGGCAACGATATCCGGTTGAACTGCCGGGGGCTGTGATTGTCAAATAAAATATTACTCAACTTTAGTCACATTTCTTGGAAACATAGAACATTTCCATCTTCACGATATCGAAAATTATGTATGCAAACGTGTTTATCGTCTGTCAGAGACTTCGATCGTCTATCTGCCGAAGAACAGGTTTACACACACACAACTTTGAATGGATCGTATTATGGAATTGAATAATGTATTCGAATTGATGGATATACCCGTGTGCAAATAAAATGACTAACAGTAACTCAGTTCTATGTAGCTGTATGTAGTGATACACAACTAAAACTGGCTAAGTTGATTGAAAAAATGCGTTTTGTATGGAGACAATCGCGTTTAGTCATTCTCTTAGTCAGTCGACTAATTTGGGACATTTTGACTAAGAGTGATTTGTGATTAAAAGTAACTGCAGTTGCTTATTTTGTTCGAGACAATCACTTCTAGTCAGTCAAATAGTCACTGGATGTCCTAAATTAATCGACTGACTAAGTAAGTCCAAAAATTTCCACACGGGTATGATTTCAAATAATTTCCGAATTTTTATATAAAAAAAAGTACATCAACAAATGCCGGCAGTGCTGGATCGGTGAATGCAACTAGAGTTTCTGATGGCAAACTTTCCCCTTTTCGTCCAATCGCAACAACGTAGATGACATGCTGTGAATTTGGTTTCAAATTTACCAAACGAGCTAAAATTTGAATACAAATAAATTTAAGCATATTAAATAGATGTCAAAGAATGATCCAATAAATACCATAGGTCAAACGTGTCTCGATGGTTGTAAAAGTTTCATTGTCAGCAGTTGCCTTGTGGTAAACACTGCAAAAATGTATGTTTTTTAGTTAATGCGATTCATTAATTGAAAAATCGATCGAATAATGATCATAACAGTATTTGAAACTCACTGATACGTAATTATTTCATGAAGATGGGAATATTCGGGTGGCTGCATTCCATGTGTTTTTTTTTTTTGAAGAAGAAAAATGTTAATGATGCATTTCATGTAGTGCGAATAGGATAATGTTTATTGCAAAACAATAAAATAAAATTGACCAAAAAAACTCACCTGCCACGAGATCGTAACGTATGTTGCACTGTGTGCAGAAATCGACAGACTATGAGGTGGTGATGGTACACCATAATTTGAAGCATCTGATTCTTTAACTGAAAAAAACAATTTTGTGTTTATCATCAAAATGTTCACGATTTCATTTTTCATTACACACACACCGTTATCGGTCGTATTGATTAAAAGCATCGATGAAGGAAGTGAAGTTCCGTGGGCATTGCGAGAATAAACAAGAACCCGATAGAGTGCATTGCTCTCGAGATTTGTAAGTTCAATATCGTTGTCTGTCGTGTTGACTTCCTAAAATTGTGTACATGTAAAAAGGTGCATTAAGTTTCAGTACACTTGAACTAGATCTGTGTTTCCATATTTGATGTCTGTACGTGAGTATGTTCCAGGTAAACGTTCGATTCACTGAATTGCATTTTGGTAAATCTTGCAAACAATTAAAGAGAATGAGTTCTACATTTGCCGATCGATGCACAAGTCGTCGATCGGAACAAAAATCGTGATTTTTGTCTAAAAACTATCTACATCACGCTTTGATGTACATGTACATACAAATGTATGGATTTGGATGGGGAGTACCACAGAGTTCATTCCTAAAAGTGGCTCTTTTAAGAACTTTCGCCAGACTGAAAAACGTCTAACGGTATACATAACTTAGGAAAGAATTTGAAGAAAAGTGGCTGTTTACCCGGATCTTATGCACATACGGACATTCAATTTTATATACATGAAAGAATAAGAATTTCGAATATTCACATTTTCCATTTTCACAACAGTCTCATATAAAGTCATATTGTTCACTTTGCCATATTGTACGACAAAGTCAATGTCATTGGTTTTCTTCGGAGCATTTGCTGTTTGATTGGTATCTTCTTCATTTGGTATCCACTCGAGGGAAATTGACGATTTGGTAACTAGCGTTGCATGGAAGTTTTCAACAGGACCTGGAATATTTTCCGTGCCCTCTTCGAAACACTGAATGATATTTCCACCATATGCGAGGCTATGAAAGAAAAAAAATTATAAATAAAATTGAGTATTAGTTTGGGCGCCAGAAGATTTTACAGAGAGCAAAAGACTAGTGTGTCGAAACTTTTGATGAGTAATGTATATGAATCAGAGCGAATCAAAGATGCCTCCAAAATACTTGAAAAAAAAACCAAAACATGAATATTGTTCGTACGAAGATTATCAAAGCAAAATTTTCAAGAAAATGTTGAAAAAAATGACACAGAGCACATTCTGATTTCAAACTGCAACACAATTTACGTTTCACTTTTGATTTCAATTTCATTTTGTGTCTCTTTAATTGAAAAATCTAAATGATTTGATTTTGTTCTGATATTTTTAAATTCTGAAGGGATATCTAATCCGCGCCAATTCATATGTAGATATTTTGTATGTCAATAAATACCAATCCACAGGCGGTTGAGGAATCAATCCACGGCAAAGTGATAAACATTTTGATACAACGCCTCTGCGGGAACAGCATGGTGTATGGTCACGACCGCCAGCTGCACATTTTGCGAGTGCCCCTGTGAAATGAATATACTTTTAACCAAGTTGTCTCTTTTAAATAGCCATTGACATCTTTTACCCATTTGTAAGGAGCATGCTTGTCCTAACATTTGCAAATCGGACACTTTGATGTCATATGTACATAATGGCATGCACTGCGGTAATACGGAGGCAGCCTTACAGCATGCTGTTATATTGTACGTTGTGGATGAATCTGAATCACTTAAATCAACCTTTGAAGATGGAAAAACAGTTTTAATCAATTGAATACAAGACTCGCTAAGAGGGATTAAAAAAAAACATTTTGAAATGAGTTTCAATGATAGGAGTTTACTTACTTGAGGTTTCGTTCTAAATACTAAACGTGAACTTGGGGGGCCGCGTCCGTGGACATTAACTGTGATATAAACAATTCAACCTTGTATTGATGGTATAGTGCTTTAAACTTTCATATTACCTGCAACAACATAGGCCTCGTAGAATGTATTGGCATCGAGATCTTCAATGATAATTGGTGCATGATCTTTTTCAATTACAGTAAACGCTTCGTCCGTGTCCATTTTTCTCAAATGGACATTATAACTATTTTGAAAATGCAAAATTATTATTCAGAAATTTACTAAAGATTTGGTTTTAAAAATGTGAAAATAACGAACCTAGTAACCGTTTCCGGCAAAAGTTTCGGTGCATTCCATTCAACGATTGCAAAACGAGACGAAATAAGTCTTGCCTTAACACGTGTTGGTTGACCAGCCAGTACTCCATAGCCTTGTAACAAACAACTAGAGTATTCTGGCATGTATTGGAGACAACTAAAACGATAGAATCCCATTAATTCAGTCAATTTTCTTCGTTCCCTTCAAATCCAACATACCGGAACAATGAAAAAGTGATAGTTGTAACATTGCCAGAGCAAAATGACATACAGCTGTCCGGAATACCTCTGGATTTACAGCACGGGGTATGATCGATTTTATTTGCTAGACATGAAAATGTTATGTTTGCCCAAGGTGCGCACACCATCAAGTCCGGAATCTGTGTGAAATCCGTTTTCTTCGGATCGCACATTTTATCGACGCAATTCCGATGGGTCATTCCATTTCGAACACAGCAACCTCGAATGTCCGGCAATGCCGGAACAACCGAAACACTAGTTTTTGATTCAACACCCGAATCCAATGTCAACGAACGCACTCGAACACTGGGCAAACTTGAACCGAAGTTATTGTTCGCAGTCATGGTTATTGAATACATTGTGTATGGTTTCAAATTGTGTATCACAGCCGAATCCAGATCAGCTGATACGGTAACACTAACTTCTGAAGTTATGTTCGGTACAGCCGCGTCATCGAATGAATGAAGCACGGTGCAGTTTATAGAATAGCTTTTTACTTTGTCTGGCAATCGAGTTGGCGGTGACCAGCTTACTTGCAGTGAATTCTCATTCAGTGGTTCGACGACAATTCCCTCTGGTGGACCGGGAATGTTTTGTACACCTTCCAAAATACACTTCAGCGCCGGTAATGTATGTGCCACGCAGGAAACACGTGATCGCACATAGTCAGTGAATGGTGTATAGTCACCTTGGCACATATCCTGATTTAGTTTTTATTTTTTAATTCATTAATTTCGATAGAAATTTCGAAATTCGCTTTTTTTTACCTGACAAACATCGGGAATTTTTTTTCTTTCACAGCACGGCAAATGGTTTCGACCGTCAGCCATGCATTTAACAATTCGCGGAAAGTCTGATTCGCATACATCGGGCTCAACACCAGCTGTTCCGTCGATAATGCTACACACAAATATGAATTAATTTAGAATCAAATTTGGATTTCCTACATTTTAACATGATTTTTGACAATAACAACAAAGAATAATACTTGTGAATTGTACAGAATCCCAAACATTTGCTTGAAACGTTCATTGATTTACAGCAATCGGTGAAATCATGGACATATTCACTCGGTTCAATTGCAGTTTCTGGTGTTGTAGATGTGGAAACTGACGAATTTTTTGGTGTGACAGATTTACTTAGTGATTTGACTGTAATTTATAAAAAGAAATGCATTCAATTCGATCAATATGATTTTCATCGACTAATTTATCAAATAGTTTTGAGATTCACCTTTTAAAGCATGAAAACTTTTGATTGGCGGATTGATGTTTACTTCGCACACATATAAATCCGAATCGGTTGGCTTTGTGTCCGTAATTAGGAGAACCCATACATCACCTCCACTAGGCGTTTTCCCTTTTGGAGCTGCATTTTGTTTAAACGATTAAAACAAATTGTAAATTTGTTTCTGATAAGTCTAAAATATAATGTAGAAGAAAATGATAGTTGATCCCCCGTGCAAACGAAATGACTAACGGACTCAGTTGTGCCGAACAACAGAATCTAGCTAAGTTGATTTAATTCCAAATTTTGTGTCGAGATAATCAAGTTTAGATTTTTGAAATATTTGAAAATAGTTGATCTGCTACTCAGTCATTTGCACAGTGGGTCTTTATATAAAATATCATCTCAATAGCAGTATGTCTTAGATTTTTTTTCCATGAATCTTCTGATATTGCGATGTTAAGTTGTATTTCCATTGTGAATGTTGATGCAACATACTTTCATCGTGAAGAACACGGAAACGTCGATCGGTCGTAACTCTGTTCTTTCCTGCAGCTAAAATGTCATTGTTTCCACGACGCCATAAGACTGTGTCATTCGAGAAGGAACCCATTATCACACACGTTAACAGTGCATCTTTACCCTCAGTAACAACAGTGGGTCCTCCAGAGGCTGCAAATTACAAAAAATTCTCATAAAATCGTTTGAAAAATGTAATAAAACTTCACAATAAAATCCATTTTAGCGCTTTGATGGCTATAATCCATTCAATTGTAGTTTATTCAATTCTCTATGACAATGCCCGAAAGCACCTGATCGTATCAATGCCTGTTAGCAACAAACGTGTGCACCACGGTAGTCAAAACTGTAAACACTATACACGGTGTTCGATATATGAGTTCGTGTGTTATTTTTTACTATATGTGGCGCTGGTGTTAGGTGTCGAAAAATTAAGCATCTGGCTAGCAGGCATCGTATTCCCTTATCAGTAACAACGAAAATGAATTTTTCCCTTATTTCCACTCAATTTTGAGTCACTTTTACTCACAACTTTATTCGTTTCATAGCTCCCACTGTTAGATGTCATTTCTATTACATTATTCACTTTGGCAGTTCAAGAGCATTATTCAAATGTACATCAAAATGTGGCCACCTTGTAGTTATCGTGTTTCAAGTTGTGCATGAAATTGGCCCACGTTGAAGACTTGTATGTTATGCGGCTAGTTATGCGGTTCATTGTATACGAAACAATGTACACAGAGAATTTTTTAATCGTCATCTGGAACTTGACGATTTTGAACAAACTTTTTCACATGGACTTTGAACTTTTTCACCCATGACTGACATTGTCGATATAACAGAAACGCAAAAAGAATACACAATCAATACTAGAACACACGTCAAATCCCAGTGAATGGTTAAAATCCAACGATACCCCAATATTCTTTGTGTATGTGTTTAGTAATTCTGAATACACAAACATATGCAAGGTGACACAAATGAAGGACTTCCTACTTATAAGAAATGGTGAGTCTTTCAAAATGTTCCATAAACAATATTCACTTACCAATTGGGTTTGCTTCAGCATAGTAAAAAATTAATAACGTTGATAAAGATAAAGCACAAAATTTCACAATTGTTTTCATTATTAAGGCACACCAAAATCGTCTCTGGTATCTGTTGAAAATAAACAAAGAGTATATAAACTATAGGTTTTTGCGTTCAATTTTTTTCAACTACGATTATATGTATTTCATCATAAGTCACACCTTCAAATTGAAATACGAATTGAAAAAAAAAAAAAACAATTGGAGCGTGTTAACGACCTGTTTGGAATAGAGTACTTTTATGGTTTTCAATCTATCATTTCTCTTCTAGCTCTTTTATTTGAAGTGAACATTTTCCATTTGACCATTCGTTGAAGTGCAATCAGTTTTTCATTTTGTTTTCATTTATGCGCAATTAACCGCAAACAAAATAATTTAAAGTTTTAAACACACGAATTTGCAAAATTTGATTCAAGTTTTTTTTTATAGAAATTTCATTAATATAAATCGAACTTTTGCGGTCGGATTATGTATTATATGCGATTTAAAACTATAAAAAAAATTACTTTTAGTGTTCCCGAAGATTGTATACAAACAAATCACATTGAACTACTTGTTACAACTTTCAAAATATCTTCCATTAAAAATTTTTATTTTTCAACTTTCATTTGATTAATCGAATAATAAAGTAGAATTTAAAAATAAGAATTTCTAGTAAGTTTGGTTTGTCAGTATTCAATGAACACGAAATTGTCAATGCTTTTGCTTTTGACGTGTACCGGGTTTCGGGCGATTGAGCAAACGGCCGAACGACTACAGAGGACCGAATGGTGTTTTCAAGCCAAGAATTTGTTGTGTTTATTGGTTGGTAAGGTGAACACCAACACACCGCCGCATGACTTCTAAAATTTATCAACACATAGAATGACTATAAATACCATAAGCCAGTGACCACAACAAGTGTATTGGACGGTTTTTTTCGTATTGCAATAATCTAAAATTAATATCAAATTAGAACATAGTATAATGTAGACAACGCATGCGATCGATATCAACGGTTTTAAAAGAAAAAGAGAGAGAGAGAGAGAGAGAGAGAGAGAGAAAACCATAACAAGCAGGACACAACATGAAAGAGTGGCTAACATAAGCGTATTGGATGGACTATGTGTTGTAGAAAGTGGAATCCTCGTGCCGAAATTGAACTGAACACCTGTCTGCGCGGAATAATGACTCGAATCGATTTTTCTTTGGCCTCTTGCCAGCAATTTTCTTTTTACACCTATATATTCTTCTGCATTACAAATTTGAGGTCTATGCATAAACATCCAACCACATGGATAACCCATATATATACATACATGTATTGAGTAAAATAACATTACATCAAAACTGTCATTTTCTATGCATCAGACCTCGAACTATCAAAAACCAAACGCAAACACACCCATATATTGCGCGTGTAATGAAACTACAAAGTAAACGAAAACAATGGTACGAGTAGTGGGACATGTAAACATGCCGCGAATACGAATACAAAGACACACATACCATTTACCGTCTATTTTTGTTTTTCACACCGATTAAATGTATGGAAACGGTTTCGCTGGAAATCAGCTGATTTCCAACTCAGTCTACTGTAGTCATAAAGAAACGACAACAGTATTTGAAATTTAAATATTTAGTATTCACATATTTGAACAGTTATGCTTATAGATTTTTGTTGTTGTTTCTTTTCGGTTGCGTATTGCAAACAATGGAACATGACTATTGTGATGTAATATCGAGAAAAAATGGGATTGCATTCATTTCTTTTTTGGAGGTATATAGATTAAGCGGTTTGAGATATATTTTGAAGAATTTAAACGTTATCCATTTGGATTTCTCGTCGAAGATCTTTGGCCCAACGTATCAAGTTATCGATGCGAAAAAAGTTAAAGATGATTTTTGCAGATCAAAGCGCACATAAAATTATCAATTCAACTGGTCTGGCAATATTTTTATACTTTTGCGCTCAGCATGTCAAATGAATCTCAAACTGGTTTGGATTTCATTTTCATTTTTTTTTTTGGAATATAATTAGCTTATTTTAGATAACTTTTATTTTTTTTCTCGCCCGACTGTTTTTCATACTGATTTCTCTATGAGCTGTCAGACATAAAAGATGCCATGTTATTACCATTTTATTTCATTATTATTTATTTATATTTTGGTTAAAAGGTCAAAATATTGTTTTATGGTGTCATTTACTCAACTGATCATACCTATTGATTGAATGCCGTTGAACCAGTCCAAATGACGCAGTTTTGTTTATGTTGAGACAATTTATTCAACGAAAAAAATATCTTTTAGGTGAAGAATGTTATTGGAATTTTTCCTGTTTTCAACACAATTGTAAATCAATAAAAATAAAAATCTTATTCTATTTGTTCTTATGATAAAAAAAATCCATGATTTGATCCTAAATTTGAATTTAGTGGAGGTTGAGTCGAATTGGTATGTTCGAATATCGTTTTTCGGTATGTTCAAATATCTAATAACTCAGTCCAGTATTTCGAGCTGCGTATTATCATATGATGGGTATGGTCAAAGCTCATCTTTCGATATGCTTTTGGTACAATGCGATTGGGACGAATATGTCCCCAATATCATTGTATATCCCAAATATAATAAGTAGCCAGACATCACACTTCATCTGAATAAAGCGTGAAGACATGTGCTTCATATATACATATATATATATATCAACTTATAATCTCAATTTCCAGAAGTTTTGGAACAAGACGAGTCCAAAGTCTTTTGTTTTTACGACCGCATGAGACGAAAGGAGAATTATTTATCACTTTCATTGGTTGCAGCGAGACGAACTGCAATTAAACATGGACAAAAGACTCAAGTTTCATACATTTAAACTTGTTTTGGATTTGCGCATTATTTCTCAATCTAAAATAGCTCGATATTGTTTCAGTAGCAATTGGAAGAATCACGGCAGAATAAAAGTTAAATATACACATTAATGTGATTTAATGGTATCGCCGGTGTGATAGATCAGTTCACGTAAGTGCGTAGAACGAAATGGCTGCGGCAATTGCGTTGCAATCGTTCGTTCGTTCTTTCGTTGCTGTTGTTGTTGTTTTTGATGTCGTTTCGATTTGAATGTCAATGTTGCAAAACCAGCCAAACCACTTATTTTTATAGGTGAATCAACTCTTCGTGCTTTTGAATAAGAAACACCCTCATTTAGACAGTTTGATTTCATACCAGCGACATGTGATTAGTGAATTAATAAAATAAATTTCCGGTTTTATTTCTCTTAAAATTATTTTCGTTTTTCATTCAAGCAAGTGATAGATAAACTTTAGAAAAGCAAAGCTTCAATTAATAAAACGGATGCAACTACTCATCTAAAACACTTAGTGATTAATAAACACGGATTATAGCCTTAGATCATTGTTATATAATAATGATAATCAAATAAATGTGACAAAATTAATTATTTAGTAAATAATTCTCCGAAAATTGGTTTGATCCAAAAATGAATCAATTTTTCCTCGGTATTATGTATCAGTTGATTCGAACATCATTTGGGAAAGTTAATTTGCATATCATCGCTTTGAAGAAATTTTTTTTTACGTCGATTCCAATATAGACTTCACATAAAACATTCATTTTCGGTGTAATTACTTTTAATCATAAAATAGATCATAGAGAGGGAAATTGTGTCATTGTCAAAGTTATTGCTGCATATATTTATTACCTTGTCAACAAAATTTTCTCATGATTGTAGTTTCGCGTTTTTTTTAACCGATTCATATCATTACGTTTAAAACTTGCACTAAATCTGCGATACATACTAATTTCAAGAAAGGTTTTTTTCATGCAATCAACTTATGTTGCCGTTGGAGTATGTAGCCCTACTTAATATAGTAAACGAATAGAATATTAATTGCACACGTTTGCTATTCATTTTCACGCATCGTCTTTCAATATTTACACATCGCAATATTTGGTTTGCCGTATATTCAAGTACGCATGAAACATAATTTCTCTAGTCAACAGATATTTCACGATTCACTTTTCACGAAAACTAAAACAATCGTGATTCACTTATTCATAAGTGGTTTCAATTCAGTCATTTTCATACCCAGACACTCATGTGTAATCAATGAAAAAAACAAATTGTGGAGTGAACTCGTGATTCCTAATCGCAAGTTTGTCGTTTGGCCAAACGAATCGAAATGAATTAATGTCCTTGAATAACATTTTTCTGTTCGTAGACACACTTATATTAATTCAATCAATTTCAAGTTCTACGTGTTTTTAAGCAAAAAGCTTCAAAAAAATCGCTCAACAAAAAACCTAAAAAAAAGCATTGTATCACGCTATTGTGGTTTTCATTTTTCGTTGTGTTTCGTGTTTGTTCTTTTTTTTCTCTCGTTATTTTCTTTATTCTCTACTGATGTGAGAATGATGATGTATCACAAACTGAATATAAAACGAATTACATACACAATTTGAAATTTTCCGCATGCACTGTATTGCAGCGGCTGTAAAATTGTTGTAATCAAGCCGCTTTTCTGACGTTTGATCGTCATTATGGAGATTGGAATGAAGGCAGAAAAAGATTCTTTGTCGCAAATTCGATTGATATAGCTCATCAAGAGCTTTAATAAATCACCTTAATTATAGAACAGATGTAATTTTCTGCTTAAAACGCGTCTATTCTTGAAACATTTCATTTCTCACAAATCTAAATTGTCTTCATTATACCAGACATTAAGCGCACAAAAAAACGTGAACCCATACGACACCATACTAATACCACAATTTTTAAGATTTGTCATACAAAATGGGTTTTGCACCAATGAGCCATTCTTCTTAGGTAGTGCAGCAATTATCGGGTGGAACCAATACTCTTTTTTTAATGAACATTTGCGGGAAAATAGTAAGTTTTTGTATGTAGGTTCGTTAGATGTGCAAGTGATTGCGCACGTAAATAGTGGTTATTACACTTAAGACTAATTAGTATTGACATTTAACTCCACTGATGAGTTCTCAATTGTGGAAACTAGTGTGACATAATAAGGTAAGTATTTACACGTACAAAATGCAAAATGTGTATTCGTGCCAAAA